TTTACATAAAAATTTTTAAGAAAAGGGAAATTTAGGATTTTTTGACATTAAAAAATATTAGACATCCAATTATAAACATTAAATATATCAGTTATACTATGGATCTTAATTTTATCAAATTCATCCTATGATTTTTAATAGATATCCTGACACTTTTAATATTAAAATGTTTTGATTTAAAAAAATATTATTTTGTATAAAATATTAAATTTGTATTTAATTTTATATCTAAAAAATTAAATTAAATTAAATTAAATCTCAAAAAAAAATCATTAAAAATGAACCCATTTAATAAGTGTGAATGCACATTCTGTCTCTTTTTCCTTTTTCTCTTTTATTTTAACTTGAAAATATTAAGAACGGAATTTGCACGGCTGCGATAGTTTCAACGGAGATTGGAGTATTGGACCATTGTGTCGAAGTTAAGTGTCCTACGTGGCATTCCACCAACCGTGAGTAAACCAATAATGCCCATAGAACTCACCGGAATCTTAGAAAACGCAGATGTCTATGGAGCTCATTTCTTCTCCTCTCCCCAAATTCAGATTCATAAAATGTCGAGCTTTTTCCAATTTACTCCCTCCGAACTGCAACCCACTTCCCGCCGGCAACAAATCTGTGTTGCCTAGAGTACCGGCGTCGCTGTCGTCTTCAATTGCGGCTCCGACGGCGCTGGAGCAGACCGGAGGGAAGATGGTGGTGGAGCTGGTGGGAGCCTTCAACGAGCTTGCTGAGAGAATCAACGTCTTGTCCACTAGCTCCTCTCGCTTGCTCTTCTTGTCTCTCAAGTTCTCCATTCCAATCTTGCAGGCCTTGCCTCTCGCTCTCGACGGCCGCTCTCCACTCTCTAAGGCTTTGTCCGTTGCTCTCCTCCTCGCCGATCTACAGGTACCAATTCAAATTCCCATTTGTTCCTGTCACTTACGGATGAGGAATTACTCAAAAGACTTCAAATTTCTTGCATGAGCTTCATCTTCTGTTACATTTATCAATTTGATCTCATTTAAATCAATTAAATTCTCCAAAATCATATGCTTTACCTTCTCTGCATTGTTGTGGAAATTAAGTAATTCAACAAATGCAAGGCAATGGGAATTTTCTTTAAAAAAAAAGAAAAGATGACTTTAGTATTATCAACCTTCCTATTATGGTATTGTTGCTAAAAATAGAGTTTACTTTTGTAATTTTCCATACAAATTTAAGGTGAATAGGTGCAGGAGGGCACAGGTTAGAAAATCCCTTAATAACTATATGAAGTTTTTAAAGTTTAAGTGTTTGTAGATGGATGCAGAAGTTATTTCAGCTGGTATACTGAGACAAGTTCTGGAGGCTGGTGCAACATCCATATTTGAAGTGAGAGAACGGATAGGGACTGGTACTGCTCATGTCTTGCATGAAAGCATGCGGATGAAGAATATTCCATGGAAAATTGAAGTTTTGGAGGATGATAGTGCTGCTGCGTTGAGAAAGTTCTGCTTGACATACTATGATATTAGGGCAGTGATTTTGGACCTAGCTTTCAAGCTTGATATGATGAGACATCTAGATTACCTTCCAAGACATCAGCAGCAAATTCTTGCTCTAGAGGTTATGAAGATATATGCTCCATTGGCTCATGCTGTGGGCACCAACTACTTATCACTGGAACTGGAGGATCTTTCATTCCGTTACCTGTTTCCTTATTCATATCTTTATTTGGATACATGGTTGAGAAGCCACGAGACAGGAAATAAACCTCTGATAGATTTATACAAGGAAGAGCTACTTGAAGCTTTAAAAGCTGATCCTATCTTGGCAGACATGGTGGATGATATCTCGGTGAAAGGGCGTCACAAAAGCCGATACAGCACAATGAAGAAGCTCTTGAGAGATGGTAGGAAGCCAGAAGAAGTAAATGACATTCTGGGATTGCGGATCATATTGAATCCTAGATCTGGACCAGACATGTTAGGAGTAGGTGAGAAGGCATGCTTCAGGGCACGTGAAATTGTTCGATCATTATGGAAAGAAATGCCTCATAGAACCAAAGATTATATTTCCCGGCCCAAAGCAAATGGGTATAGGAGTTTACATATGGCAGTTGATGTGAGTGACAATGCCAGGACAAGGCCACTGATGGAAATACAGATACGGACTAGAGAGATGGATATGTTGGCCACAGGTGGGACCGCATCTCATTCATTGTACAAGGGTGGTCTGACTGATCCAGAAGAGGTTAGCACATTGCCATTTGATTGAGATATAGTGTTAAATTTTGCAATATAGATTCTAACCTTCCTCAAAGCACAACTCGCTAAGAATAAAAAGGCAGAATCCTTTTTAAATTTGGGCCTTATTATAAGTTTTATGAGAAAGGAATTTACCAATTCAGTTTGTTGGGCATCTTGTGTGCTCACTGTTTTTCTTGATTCCCTTTGACTAACACAAGATGGTGCTTTCACCTATGTTCTCGTTTTATAATTCACACCTTGGTCATTATTTTAAAAGATAAGATCATGAAGCATTTGATGGCTTTAAATCATTTGACAAAGCATGTATAGTTTAGTAATTTGGATGCTTTTCAGTGCAATAACTACTTCTATCTTCCTCTTTCTTTGATTTTCAACTCATACTGAGCTCTGAGCATAATACATGCATTTATTCCTTTGTTTTCAACTCAGCCAAGGAAAATCATAACTGTTCTAGTTAAACAACCTTTTTTTTTTCTGGAAAAGGACTTAGTTACATATGTTCACTTTCAGGCCAAGCACCTCAAGGCCATAATGATTGCTGCAGCTGAGTTTGCAGCATTGCGTCTTAAAGATTTTCCATCAACAAAGCCGAAAGGTTTGGAGCTTGATCAAAGAGGCCAGGTGTTTCATCTTCTTGACAAGAATGGTGATGGTAGAATTAGCATTGAGGAATTAACAGAAGTTATTGAAGAGCTTGGTGCCCCAGGGGAAGATGCACAAGAGATGATGCTGCTTCTTGATTCAAACAGTGATGGTTCTCTAAGCTCTGATGAATTCGACTTGTTTCAGAAACAGGTAAGGGCTGCTATCTGTTTTGATGGTATCTGGGAAGTAATTAATGATGAAACCTAAATTGGAAGAACAAAAATGTTGAGATTGCTATTTCATCTTCCTCATTGATTTAATGCATATTGTTACTTGTTCCGCAAATCTTTTACACTTACAACCAAACTAGCATGGCTGCTCTCATAATTTCTAAAATGAAGTAATGATGAGATAGAGTCTAATTGAATGACACTGCAGTACCTGGTTGCTTGGTGTGGATCATGTTTTTATCTTATCTATAGACCACTTAGATGGTAATATGCAAAGTTTCTTTAGTCTGATGAACATAAAAGTCCCAAATTTAATATTCTATCGGTCAATCACTCTCATTGGACTAATTTGATGATATTTCACTCTCTGGCTTCAGTTAGTAAACAGCTTAGCTCCCTGTTCTTTTTCTTTTCGTCACTATTTATCAATTTTCTTCTACAGATTGAAATAATGCGCAATTTGGAGGACAGAGATGTTGAGTTCAAGACTATTTTGAATGAGAAGCTACAAACAGCAGACAATAGTGGCTTGATTCAGGTATACAGCAAAGAATTAGGTGATAGGCTAGCAAATTGAACCTAAGAGACCTATATTTGAATAGGTATGTGCATATGCTTTAATAATTTATGTCCAGATTCTCAGCAACGTATTGATAAAACAAAAAAGAAGAGGATACTCTACAATGTATGTATTACTGTTGTAATGGATATATGTATTGAAAGCCATTCAGCAAGGGAGATCCAAGGACTTGTGACTATATTTTTATTTATATTCAATCAACAAGAAAATTGTTCTCCCAGAAAATACTGTTTATTACATGTTGAAAACCAAGATGACATTATGACATTCATAGATGGAAACATCTAAAAAAATGAAAATTTTTTCTAGTTAATAAAAGCCTAAATCAGTTTTCCTTGCAGCCTCAGAACCGTCATTGTTGTTTCAAGCTTCTGTTTGCAGCAGCCCTTGGCTTTGAGGGACACCTAAATCACTCGTTATCCTTCTACATAACTGCAAGCGTTAAGTTGTGAATCAAATTAGGGAAACAGTGCGAGATAGAGGAAAACAAAGTGTTGGAGAGACTGAGAAAACAAGCATACCTGTCTATACGTCGAAGAGTCACCATGTGATTTACATAATTCAACTACATGCAAGGATGGACTAATCTCGAATACCTGATACAGTTAAAGAGAACATGATTGGTACAACTTACAAATTCTAAGAGAACTGATAATTTGAATTTTTTTGGCAATGAAATACCTCAGCCGCAACAGAAAGATTTCCTAAACATCTCTGACCTCTGTGCTCCTGTGTTGCTTTCAACTAAAATGTAAGGGTCATAGAGATTTCAGTCGTTGTTGTTTGATATTATGAAGGACAAAGCCTAATGTAATCAGATATTACCTGTCAACAACTATACTAACCTTTCCATTCTTTTTTTGGACTCGAAATCCCATCTCTGTTACTGTATCTTTCATCCTTGCAAGCAAATCTTTTGCAGAATGATTGGATGTAAACAGGATCTTCCTTTGAGAGACATCCTGTGCACACTTTGCAATCAGATATTCTGAAAATTTTGTGAACCTAGGGGTGACAGAGATATTTACTTTGATTTTGTTCTCACCTCGTTCTCAAAGAAACCAGAGAGGTCCAGACTTGAGGACATTCCAATCAACTGAAAAGCGTTGATGAGTGTTGGAGAATCTGGACTCTTAGGTGCACAAGATGGCTGTAGCAAAAAGATGAATCTGTGAGTTAATGATGCAAATTAAAGAACACAGGAATTATATATGGCTCAGCAGACATCAAAGTTTAGGGGTTAATACCGGTTCACTCATTGAGAAGGCTTCCTCGTCAATGTATATATCGTCCTCTTCATCGTCTGGAACTTCAGGAGTATATTCTTGCTTGAACCATTCATCTTCTTTGATATCCGCCATTGTTATTCTAGTATCAGGATTTGGATCAAGAATCCTTCGTATCAAGTTCTGAGCTCCAGGTGATAACCATGTAGGGATATGAGGATTCCCTTCGAAAATCTGAAGTCCTCAAGAGTATTAATCACAGCATGAATGAAGAATGGAAATACAAAATTTGTCAGAAGAAGATACAGGCAGACTTTGAATACCTTCAGATAGAGAACTGCCATATTTCTATCATCAAAAGGGAGGTATCCTGTGAGGATAACATACAAGATGACACCGCAGGACCATATATCAGAGGTGGAACCATCATACCCTCTATTCTGAAGAACCTCTGGTGCAACATAATTAGGACTTCCACAGGTTGTGTGAAGTAAACCGTCCTCCTGAAATTTTACAATGCAGTTAACAAAAGAACAAGAACTTTTTAAAGGACATTTCTGGTTAATTTGGCAGAGTTATTAACCCTAAAATGTTGAGGCAGTGCGCTGAGGCCAAAATCAGATATCTTTATGTTTCCTTTTGCATCGAGAAGAATATTCTCCAGCTGCAATTCAGAGAACCGGGAACTTTAATCAGAATGACATAACAGCAAGAGAAAGAAAAATGAAGGCAATTCATGTCATATTATAACATGCATGTGTTTAGAAGAGCTGAAGACAACCTTAAGATCCCGGTGGAAGATTCCTTTATGATGACAGTAACTCACAGCGTCAATCAACTGCTGGAAAAGCTTCCTTCCCTTAGCTTCAGGGAGTCTCCCATTGTTTGCCTATATTATATGTACATGAGCAGAGCTTAGCAATGAATTAATAGTAATGCAGAAGCTGCAAGGAGTCATATATATATATATATATATAAGAAATTCTGAACTTCTTACAATTCTGTCAAACAACTCCCCTCCATTTACATACTCCAGCACCATATAAATCTTGGTTTTGCTTGCCAGGACCTGAAACAATGCATCAGCAAAATTCCGGCTTCAGTAGAGCAACTTAAGCAACATAATCATCTGACTTAAAGCCTTTAAAAGTGTTTCACGCAATTAAAAAGATAAAACAATAAGATTTTAAATTTAAATCTTAAAAAAAATTAAAGAAACAGAAGTATTATCTTATATTATATAGTCAATTATTTGGCATACAAAAAAAATCATCTTCATACCAAATTGTGATTTTAATTGGGAGGTCCACCTAACATCATCAATATTCATTTAATGAAAGGAGGATGATCCGTATCTAAAGGACCCACATGCGAAAATAAAAAAAGTGAGGGATTTATATTTGATTAAACTAATTTCAGCAACACTGAATTAAGGTGGACCCCCACCAGACCGACCAGAGCATGTGTGGCTTTAATAATAATAATCCAGCCAAAAACTTGAGAGGCTTCAGGGGGCCCCACCCAGCGTCAGTCAAAAAAGGTTGTGGGCGCCACCCGAGTCCCCATTTGTTACTTCACGAATACTTCTGCTTCTGGGAACCGAATACCCAATGATTTTCAGAAACACGTTGACTGGGTCCGATGGCAGAAAGCGCATCTTACGGTTAAAAATAATTTAGAGATAATTTTTTATATTATTTTAAATAATTTTATTTATTATTTAAATAATTAATTTTTTTATTTATTTAAAATTTATAATATTAACTATATTTATTTACTTAATAATACATAAAAATTATACTAAAAATAATATAAAAAATAATCCATATTTATATTTTTTAAACAATATAACATGAAACAAAATCAAACTCACTCAAAAGAAAAAAAAAAACATTTATTCATGTAATAAATGTCGTTAGGCCAAACCACAGCTGCAGTTCCTATATTATTGTACCGTAAAGTTTACATTTTCAGGGGCTTGTACTTGTAGTAAATAAATTGAACGGGACAGTGTCACTGTTAACACACAAGACGAATAAGAGACAGGAGACATGCGTCCAAAAAACTGAAAATGGATTGTCTATGAGCTTCGGCTACATTTATGAAGACGCAGTTGCGGTTCATCCTCCAAAACACCAGCTACACCCATTTTCATAACTGAATTTTTTTTACTATGAATTAAATACATGTTTAAAATATAATTAATACATGTTTTTATTATTAATTAATATTAAAAATTAACTGAATTATTTTAATTAAATGGTTTTAAATAAAAATTAATTTTTATTTTTTTAATATTAATTAAGGTAAAAGATGTGCCCTGATTGGAGCGTGGATATAGCTTATGATTCATATATTGATTCATCCTAAAATCTATCTTCTTTCCTAATTTGTGAATCATTTTTTGACCTCAAAAGAAATGATCCAATGATCAGAAATGTATTTGCAGAGATGGAGAATGATATTAGATTACCTCATGTAATCGGACCACGTTTGGATGTTTGAGGAGTTTCAAGGAAGCAATCTCCCTTTTTATCTGCGATTTGGCATTAAAAAACAAGTATTAACAATCTAATTTTTTGGAACTTGAAGTTGAAATTGCACTCAACAAGCGAAAATAGATTTGAAAAGAACTGGGAATCTGAAAAAGACAAGCACAACCCAAAAACCAGACATCCGATCAGGAAAGCTAACATTCATACACCCAAAATGCAGAAAGGCATGGAGGAGGAAGAATGAATCAGAGAAAGAGAAAAGTCACCCAGAATAGGATTTCCTTGTATTGCAAAAACGAGAACAAAGAAGAAAACCCAGAAACTTTGACTAAAGAGACGAACCTGATCGTTGATCTTGAGGTTGGTGATTCTGCTCTTGTCGAGGACCTTGACGGCGAAGAGTAGGCCGGAACCGACATGCTTTGCCAATTTCACCTTCCCGAAATTCCCTTCCCCAAGAGTCCTTCCAATCTCGTATTTTCCGAGTCGCACTACCTTGTGCTTCTCCTCTACCTTCTCCCTTGCCATCCACAAGTTTTTTTCTGAGAGTGATATTCAAAACCCACAAACACAGACTTCTCCTTCCTTCCTATGATCTTTCTGGATCTCTGTTTCTTAGTGTCTCTATCAATGGCGGATTTGTACATAACCTTGCAATCTCTCCCCAGTGACTACCTTCGATACGAAGCCTTCATGAATACGGGATTATATGATGAAACAGTTGCGATTTTTGGGATGCCACCACAAGAAAGCTTCTCTTTAATAATTTGGTTCCTTCTCAATCTCAAATCCTATTCCCTCAATAATTTCTCTCTTAAATCCCACACATTTCTATGTATCACACCACATGCCAAGGTATTCCTCTCAATAATCCGTGCTTATATAAGAAGATCGGTTTTCTTTTTAAAACATTTTAAGGGTATGTTAATTATATATTTTTTATTAAAAACATTTTAAGGGTATGTTAATTATATATTTTTTATTATAGTAATTGTTATGAAAAAATTAAAAATTAATTTTAATTTTATTAATTATTTATTTAAAATTAAATACGTGTCATTATCTCATTAGTGTTGAAAATGAAATAAGTTTTTATTTTTTTATATATATTAATAAAAAAATTTTAATTAACATATTTTTAATTTGTGAATTTTAAACGAAAATTAGATAAATTTATATCAAATAGAGTTAGTAAAGATTTGAATTGTTGCCTTGAACCAAATTAAGTTTTTTTTTAATGGGATTTAGCTAAATTAAGGCTATGTACGTAGTATTTACTTTTTCTAATAGATTATAAAAACGAAATTTGATTACCAAAAAAAAAAAATTGATATGATTTTCTTACCAAAAATTGAAAAATGAACATTTGCCACTTGGCCACGTTTAAGGGTGGTGGCATGGTCCCTCTTACTTAGTTCGCGGCGACTTCAGGGGCCATATCACATGGGATTTCTTCATTTCAATTCCTAAATTGTCTCCTTCCTTCATTCATGGTTTTAAGGGGGCAGGCCCCGATGTGTAGGACCAAAGAGACTTAAGTACTTTATAAGTTAGAGAAACATATGACAACATTAATATCCACAATTTTGTTTATTAAAATGGTAGATTCAATTGTATACGTAAAAGTTTAAATAAAATATTAGTCATTAATTTTATGATTTATCATATAAAAAATTACAAAAATTAAATTTATTAAAAAAGTAAGTATAACGATAACGGTTAACATTTAAATTAATATTAAAATAAATTTAATGCACTAATTAACTATAAGAGTAGGTCTTTATAAGAGAAATTAATCTTGTAATATGCATAAATTAACAAATAAATAAACCTTAATTATCTGGAAAAAAATATTAAGACACAAGGAAAAGCAAGGTTTAATTAAATTAATACCTTGGAACGAAGCAACCAATAATTTAGACAACACATGTGTAAGTATGATTGCAAGTTTAAGTAAACAACCTTTAGCTTGGCATTAGAGTTCGTTTGACCCCATAATGTAAACAAACTGCCAAATCACATTGCCAACCTCATGCATTAATTATAATTAAATTTAATAAAAAAAAAGTCTCCTCCCAAGCAAAATATTGCGTAAATTATATCCTCACGTCCATTGTTTTTTGCTAACTTATTAATATATAAAAATAGTGCCTATCAGTCTTATCTTTTAAATATTAAAAAAAAATCATCTCAAAATTATCTCGTTTCAATAAATTTTTATTTAAAAAGATTAAATTACCTTATTTTTAAAACATACATTAAGGTAATTTTTATTTTTTTTCCTTCTATTTTTTTTTTAAGATAAAGCAAGCAAGTACTAACCCTTTTTTTTTTTTTTTTGATTTCCTGCCCGGTATCTGAGGCTTCGCTTCGACTAATTCGAATCCGACCCGCACCTAGAAATGGTGGGTGAGTCTCCCAGCAGGGGCTGCTACGTACACAAGCACTCAAATTCGAGACTTTGCTTAAACTGGAACAAACCGCTTACCACTTGATCCAACCACTCATTAGTGTACTAACCCTTTAATATATACTAGAATAACTTCTTTGTAATGTAATTCAGATTTTATCAAATCGTAAAATATGAATTATTAAATATTAAATAAAATTCTTGATATTAAGAGTTTGAATACTATTTAATAATTTAAATTATATAATTAATTTGATTTAATTTAAGTTGTGTAATATTTTTTTAAAATAAAATATTCAAACACAAAAAAAGCGTATTTAAAATTGGTTTTCCAGATTCGAGAAGAAAAACCAAAATAAAAATAATTTTTATTTTACATGAAATTAAGGAGAATATTCGGAAACTTGAAAGCA